CCTTAAGGTGACATTTGCTTATCCCACAAAAAGGCTCAGGACCAAAAAGTGCAGATGCTGCACCTTTTTTTGCAAGGCGATCAGCTGCCTCATTTCCTTTGATTCCTTCATGCCCTGGAACCCACATAATAACTGTTTGTATCAGAATTCCTCATTAAAAATGTATGCGATATGTATGAAGAAAGTGAAATCGATGAGAATGTTTTAGGTAGGTACTTGCATATTTCCAAAAACTCTTGGTAAAAATGAAGTTCTCATCTTTGTGGGTAATTCATTCTATGCTCAAAGTATGACAATAAACGAAAAACACAATATTCATGTGAGCAAAATTATGCAATCAGAATATGGATACAAACCTCAGAAATCGAAAACTGAGACACCTCAGGGAATCGAAGAGTTTTTATCTCAGTACTACGTCAGATGAAATCTTATTCACAAAGGTCAGTGAACAAGCCATTTCAATAGAAATTTATCTATCCCATGTATTATGTTATATGTTCTCAATTCTCATTCCCTTATTTTGTGTGTTAGCAAATAGGTTATAATCTAATTTTCAGAATTATGGGATCTTGTCAGAGAGGAATTATAAGTTCGTTGAAAGAGTATAGTATTTAACACGTTAATAAACTCTTCTAGACGCTCATTTTATAAATCCGCTCTGCTGTGCTCGTGCTCAAAATACTCGTTACTAAAGTGACGTTCATAAGACTTGTTACATAATATACTAATAAATCGATTTCGAGAAAGTGATACATCTGATCGATATGGAACAATGCACATTTTTTTTGTAAAGAGGTGTGGATTTTCATGATCTGAGATTGAATTGTCGAAAAAATATGCACACAAAAAATTTGAGCAATATTCAATGTAGTCTCACCCTGTATTATACACTCTTGAATGAATTTAATTTCCTAATATTGAGCATGAAAAATGAAGTTCTTGTATCGATTTGCGATATTTTATCACATGGCGTTTCCAGCGTACAAAATATTCAAGAATGTTCATCTTCAGGAGCTTTGTTTCAGGGGGCCGCAGCTACCTTAGGAGGCATTTACATGTACAGGGTGGGCAAAATTGGGCACTTTCAAAGGAAAAGTCCTATTCCCGTTCAAGAAAGAAATAAACTGATGTCGGTTCCTGTTAATCAATTCACATGACACACTCAAAGGTGAAAACCGCATATCGATCTCTCTTCATTTCAGAGTTACAAGGTGTTGTTCGAAAATGTGAATTTTTGAAAAGAGGCTAAAACTCTATTATTGTAAAAAATTCTTCGTTTTCATGAAAACATGTTCAAAGCATTGTGTTTGTCATTAAAATTGATCCTCAGGTATTGAAATCAGTCACCGTATACCTAGTTGTAAAATAGAACTTTTCTTTCAAAAAGATCAGGCTGTATTCTTGAACTAGATATAGGAAGGCCGATTTCAGTGCCTCGAGAACAATTTCTATCACCCATTGCATTGCCAAAAAAATATCTGTAGCCACTTCACTTCAAAAATGCCCATTTTCGAAAAAAACCTTGTAACTCGGAAATGAAGACAGATATATCGATTAGAGTCCCTATGTACCTAAGACAAGAGTCCGGACACAAAACTGACAGCCGTTGGGGTTTTTAATATTTTGTTCCATTTGGTTTGCCCACCTGACAATGTGACGAAACACCATAGTCGTCCCGCCCGCTTTTTTTAATTATTTCGAATTTCTGTCACTGTCACTTTGAAATTTTATGACCGCCAAAATTTAGCATTTCAAATTATTTCAATGTCCTGCTTCGTACATTATTGCGATAATTCATTAGAAAAGGGATTCAAGTAATTCAATTTTCCGAATGATCCTTTAAAGATAATGTCATGGAAGAATGCAATGAAATGTCCAGAATGGAAAATTAATTTCAAGAAATCCGCAATATGTGAGGTAAATATTCAAATTTTCTTGTAAAAACAGTTCAAAACAGATTAATTTTAGGCCCATTTTGATAGAGATTCTTTCAAGCTGATGGATTTCAAATTGAAAGAGTGTGCTGTTCCATCAATTTATAAAATAGAGATGTTCAAAAAAAGAGTTCTGTCGTCATCGTATTGGGAATTATGATTTTCAATATCTACAATATAATTATAGTATTATGTACCATGAGTTTAATATAAGTATAGTTATCAGGTGTATATAATAGTTTATCAATTGGATCTTTGACATCTCATTGTCCCTAATGTTAGATGAATATAAAAATCAATGATTATAAGGCATATAGGTATATACCGGGTGGCTACGGAAGTATTGCGTACGGAATATCTCAGTTATTGTATGAAGTAGGTTCGTGAAATTTGGAGCGTCGATATAATGACATAAGAGCTAGAATTTGAGCATATTGACATGTCGAAGTTAACTTCCGGTCTGACCGGAAGTAACATCAACTTTCTTATTTTGAATAGAAACCCTATTTTCTTTTTCTTTTCGCTTTATTCAGCATTCAATTCCCTTTCTAATGACATATCACAAGTTGGTATCTAACCAGAAACTAGATCAGAAAAAAATTATTATTGAAATTCACCGAGTAGGCCGTGGAAGCAAAATGAAAGCCAAAAATTGAAAAGTTGGCTATGGAAACCATACGTCACTTGATAACAATTGCTACTGTGATATTTTATTTTCATTCGTCGGCGTTATAAAAAGCAGCCAAAAAAAATAATGGAAAAATTGGGAAAAAAACAATAATACTCTGTAGGTCCATAACTTAAATAGGAACATACAACTTTTTTTTGCCTGTACTATTCAGCATAACCATTCCTTTCTAATCATATAATAGAAAGCCATTTTTTGGCTTTCATTTTGCTTCCACGGCCTACTCGGTGAATTTCAATAATACTTTTTTTCTGATCTAGTTTCTGGTTAGATACCAACTTGTGATATGTCATTAGAAAGGGAATTGAATGCTGAATAAAGCGAAAAGAAAAAAATAGGGTTTCCATTTAAAATAAGAAAGTTGATGTTACTTCCGGTCAGACCGGAAGGTAACTTAGACATGTCAATATGCTCAAATTCTAGCCCTTATGTCATTATATCGACGCTCCAAATTTCACAAATCTACTTCATACAATAACTGAGATATTCCGTAGGCAATACTTCCGTAGCCACCCGGTATATTGTTGTTTTGATTTTGTCACTTTTATTTCTGCTGAGTGATATTAAATTGAGAAAATCGGAGAAAAGTATATTGAAACAATTATATATATATATCTTCTATTTTTTCATATCCCAACAGATAACAACTATATTTTCTCGGCTATATGTGATACCACGTAGAACACTCAAATTATCTTTCTTATATCTAATAAAGTGAAGAAATATCTGATGACGAAAATTTGCAATAGCCATCTCAGGAATTGATTATGAAAATTATCGATTCGAAATTTGAACACCCTGTTCTTCATAATTTGAAAATCTAATAGTTATTCTAGTTAAAATAGCCCTATTTCTCATTTCTACCTACGGCTATGAACGGTTTGACAAATAATCTAACCCTCAAACCCTAACAACACGGGATCTTGCTGGTACATCCCGCTAAGGTCCTACAAATGTCCCAATGTTTCAGACTTAGGTACGATATCCCAGAGATGTTTCTCTTGGGACATCCATCAGATGTTTTCATTGGATGTTCTAGAAACATCTCATTTGATCTTTTTTTATAAACAATATCATGGTTCCATATTCGCTAATGATGATTGACATGATTGAATAGTTCAAACAATTGTGTCATTTGAAACATTGAAGAGTTGGTAAAAAATGAAAATCAAAACTGTATTCGTACTAATATACTTATATACCTATACCAAAGACGGCTAATTTCAGTAATTTCATCTATTACAAATTGAAATAATAATTATACCTCGAATTATACTAAATATTCCTCAATTGGATTACCAAAGTACCTGTTCAACTTCATGAACCATGTAATAAACGACAAAATGGAAATATATCTCTCCAGCATATTTATTGCTGAATTTATTTGTTATACCAGCCGATAGATGGTGGTACAACTACGTTGCTAAGAGTTACTAACAGTCGTCGGCCCAGCGCCAACAAATATGAGCCTCAAACAACTGTTATCATCTACTTTATATCTGGAAATAGGTCGTCCATTTTCAGGATTTCAGATTGAAAATAATTCATACCGTGTCATCCATTACTGTCATCAAACAAAAAACATCGTAGAAGTTTCACATCATAAGATGTTCCAAATCAAGTACCCTGAATGTCTCTGGTACATCCCGTATCATCCCACAAACATTCTGATGGGATGTTTATAAGACATCGCAAATGCTGACAAGGGTGTTGCCAGCAACATCCCAAGAATGTTCCAAGGAAAATAGGGATTTTCCAGAGATGTTCCTATCATCCCATATGGCTGTTTCTACGACGTCTTACAGATGTTATTGTGTTATTAGGGAAATTGTTTCTGACAATCATTGATACTAGGGGAATTGAAAAGACAGAGCTCGATATATCTCATTTCTACCTACGGCTATGAACGGTTTGACAAATAATCTAACCTTAGTTCCTGTATGATCTAAGAATCTAACCCTCAAAATTGTTTCTGACAATCATTGATACTAGGGGAATTGAAAAGACAGAGCTCGATATATATGTCTTATTCCTTCATTCAATCATCAATGCCTTTTTTGAAAACAGAAAAGGACAGAACTATAGCTGTGTCCGGACTCTAGTCTAAGGTATATACAGGGACTCTAATATCGATATGCGGATTTCACCATTGAGTTTTTCATGAGAATCGACCCTCAGACACCGACATTAGTTTTCCCTTTGAAAGTGTCCAATTTGGCTCACCCTGTACATTAAAACTTTTCTTCCTATTTTTGGCCATAGAAGCCGCTGGTGAAGTTTGGCAGGCTAATGTCGGGATACCCTGTATACATTACATCTCATAAGTATAGGCTAAAGAAATAAAATTCAATTTTCCATAACCATAGTAGCTTACTTACTGATGAGTGGTGTTTTTTCTGTAGGTGGCAGAGTCTCTCTAATTGTCATCAAGAACACGGTCATCGATAGAAGAGCACTTATCCCCAGTGTTACCTTCTCTCCAGATTCTGAAGGGACGTAGAAAACAAGTAAAGCTGAAACAAGAAAATCAGAGGATATTCATGCACCAATGGACTTTCATTACGCTAATTTGAACCTTCTTTATTTCTCAGATTTGTGAAACATCAAATATACAAATGCTCAGGTCGTTCAGTCATTCTTGAATGGAATGGGTTTCACCATAATTTCAGTTCTCAAAACCCAAATAACGCATTTGTTATAATGAAGCTTGTTGGCATTGATTTTTATTGATTTTTTGGTTGAGATATTACGAAAAAAAAAACAAATTTTCCGTAAACGGGTAATCAATCATCATGACGAAGAAGTTGGGATTATCAGAAATATTCTATCATTACTATTTTCAGGGGCCCATATTTGTTTTTTATACCATTAAATACGAGCTGAAACCTCCCATCACAGCCATTTCGATATTCCAAAGTACAAAGTACAAAATGTTGTATTTCGTGCAAAATAATTTGTTCAAATTTGCTTGTAACAAAGTGCTTTCGACTATACAGTCATCATCAATGCGTACCTGTTAGTGAGTAATCAGCTTTTAGCTATTGAAGACATCGAGGAAAATTTAAAAAAAAAAATCTATTGTGGTAGAACATGATACTGGGGAAATAAAATATCAGTCGCCATGACTCTACAGTATTATTATTACTAATACTCATTCATAGTCATCATAAGTATAACATGCAACATTAAAAGGAGAGAAAGACACAGAAAAACCAAGAATACCATTTTCCGTTCAATAAAATTGCCAGATGAACCTATCAACTAGACCTTAATTGAAAGATAAATCATGAAACTACATGATAGATATATCCAGATATATCTGTCAATAGTGTCAATTACACTCTCATTGAAAGTTCAATCTTACAATTAGCTTGATTAACAAAATTACTTTGCAATTAAAATGTTTAACAAAGAAAACAATGTTGTTCGCGTAATGTCCGTGTAGCGTCTTCGTTAGGTTCGAAACGAAGCAACAATGATTAAACATGGTTTAATGAAATTGCTTTTTATATAAAAAGAAATGTATATCGCACTTGAAAGTTCATTACTAAACTCATCCATGTTACCAGAGTATAATACTGTCAAAATAGTTTTATGTCAATTTTGACAATGACTGCCACTACCATGGTGTCATTGAATAAGTTTTATCAACTTTGAAACGGTTGGGATGATATAAAATGCGATTTTGTCTAGAGCCGTGCGTGATACCAATTGAGGTATAGTGTACTATTTTTGTAGAAAAAAGATGAAGGAATCCAAAGGTGAAAGCGAAATGTGAAATTTGTCACCAATGTCAAAATTGCCTTCATTAAACGAAGAAATTCGTCCCATTTAATCACCTAATCACTGAACAGCCGTTTACATATCGAAACGGTATAATGAGATAATTTAGTTGCCCGAATATCATTGATACCATATAGCAACCGTTTACAAGTAATGTAGTAGTACATGTACAGAGTGAAATATTTTCGGGTGTAATTTCAATCGAGTGTATTTCAGAAATAACTCCGATTGAATCAACACTTGATTAGCAATATTATATCAATTTTATTAGAAATTTGATAATACCGTGTACATTGGTGCCAATTCAGACCTTCATAGTGAAAAATACACGGATGTGGGAATTTAGAGGGGTTCTGAAATATCCATTCAAGGGAAACACCAAAAGAATGAAAAGTACTTACTTTCGATAGTGGTATTATTCAAGTTTACGCAAAAAATACACTCATGATATGAAATTAACACCTAGCTACACCCTGACCAATCACGAATAAATCAAAACCGTGTATGAATCATGAGATTTGGGGCTAATATAATTCACCATGTAAATAAATAATGTTGCTGATGTTGAAATTTCCCCCTGAAAAACCTAAACTCATTGGAGAATTGATAAAAATTGTGTAGGTGTATCATCATCCACTAATTCTGGTATATAGATTGATAGGTGACAAGGGGAGTGTATAATCTCTGGTGACAATAAGAACGGATAATTTCGTGAAAATAATGCATTAAATAAATATTAAGTTGATTCATCAATTATACTTATGTGATGATTTTGTGATTGCAAAGCTATATAGAGTACTTATATCGAGACAGATTGAAACATTAAATTGAATATCAGAGTATACATTTTTTGCACAGAAAAATATTGAGTAAATATCTTGATAGATGGCGACACTAGCGCTCCTTCGACGCTCGTCTCTTGACGGCCTTCAAATAGTATCAGCTCAGAGATGTTTTGTGATGTCTCAACTCTCACTACAATGGATCATTTCGTACACTGAATACTAATATTAGTACATCAGAGTCGTGTTGTTCAACACTCAGATGCAGTCGAGAAAGCACCGCTTCTCAGCGTGATAACACCCAATAAGTGTGTTTTTACAATAGAAAAATATCCGGAAAATATTCGCATATTATGATATCAGTAAAAGCAAAACCGCAACAGATACAGTGTCAAAATAATCACCAAATGATCGTATAGTACACCACTTTGGTGTTGAATAACATGAACCGATCAAATTAGCACTAGGTACTCTAGTGTAGCTCTCCACTGTATGTAAGAACGAATTGACACTGAAAATATCAGTGTTAATTCTCACCAAAGTAATCAGGACCTCAGGGGACACCCAAGGGTGTTAGCTGGTCTGAACTGGTGTTATTTTTTTTCACTACATATATTTTTTATTCAAACTTTCAAGGTCGATACCTCCGTGACGAAGTGTGATAGACATTTTTCCATATTATGAAGTATACTATCATTAATTTGGCTCACCCTATCAGCCAGCCCTATCATTTACTACATGTCATTTCCTGATGTAATGCTCCTGCGTTTTCTAAACGGAACAGTGTAGTGCTGCAGTGTATACACAAACTATATACATCGAATTATACTCTCAATAACTCACCTATTCCATTTATCAATATACAAGGTAATATCAAATTGAATACGTAGAATAGAGGTCGCCTTCTCAGTTGAATGGTATAGGTGATATCGGGATAAGGTTCAGGACAACACGAATAAAATTCGATGTGTTTGACGGAGGAGAAACCTAACAAATCGAATTCGCCATTAGCTTGATAGTTGCTGACGTCTCCTTCTTCTGTTTGCTTCACTAGCTCCACCTGAAAAAAAAATACATGGAGATGCTAAAATGAATCAAGGTATAGTCTGATATACGTTTTTAACTTCGAAATACTCTGCATTTTGTATAGGTAAAGTGGTTCTCGGTGAAATTTTCTGAATTTTCAGTACCGTAAAATGGGGTCAAAATGTGCCTGCACAGGTCTGACACTGGGTTCTTCGATAGATATTTGAATTTCGACATGCTCTAGTCATGGAAACCGGTCTTAATTATACTAGTTTGGCCATCTGGTGGCGCAATTCCAAACTGCGCGGCCCCAGTTATCTGTTGGCAGGTAAACGTTGATTGATGACAGGTGTTTTATCAACTTCAGGAAAGTCCGAATAATTTCTGGTGGTGAGAAGTATTCTGTACAAATTGAGATATACACTTATGATATCACGAGAGCTTCAATTATAACCGGAAATTCGTTCCTGAACACGAATATCTTGAGAGTTTTCCCGAGTCGAAGACGAATATTCGTGTTCGAGAAAAGATTTCCGGTTTCTTATTAAAGCTAGAGTGGTATTTGGTAGAAAATTCACACCAAAATTCGGAAAAATGCTAGGATAAGTTTACGCTAAATGAAATTCAAAAACCGACTTTAGTTACAAAAAATATCAAAACAGCATTTGCTGCCATTTTTTTTTTCAAATGGGTCGTGTTTTGCGGAAAACTTATATGGTTAGTTTGATTGCAAATGACTTCCTCTACCACCCCACTCTTTTTGATCCATTACTTATGGGACACCCTGTATTCAGTACATTTTTCAATAGAGAGAATTTCGCGGGATACATACCTAATGATCATTATGTTGGAATTTTATATTTACTGAAAGAATATTGCTCCTCAAATTGTTATAGAGCCCCTATATACATAAACTTTCCAATATAAAAGGCACACCATTACATGTCTGATAGTAGTACCGATGTTCGTCATAAAAGATTTGTGGAGAGCAGGAGAATTGCATATAGATAGGTACTTATCGTCCAATAAAAACATGTGCCACCTATAATAAAATTATATTTGAGAACTTACGAACAATGTGGATGATATTGCAAAGACCTTATAGTTTCCTTAAACCGGGTGTCATCGAATCTACTATACTTCATAACTTCTAGAATGTCAGGTGTATCAGAATGAGATTCAGTAAGTATAAGTGAATATGTGCAGTTTTCCCAGAAATAGCTCCTGTTGATGTTTTTAAAATTGCACACCCTGTATATTCCAACATTTTTGGATTCCTGTGACAAATCTGATATCCAAATTCTGTATGCAAAAATTGGATGTGTACTTATGATGGATTCGAATGAATATTTCAATAGGATATTATTTATGTATAGAAAGGACGAAAAACTGTTAAGTATACTCTGCATTAGTATCTACGTAAAATGTATAAATATTTTGTAGAAGTCGACGAAAAATGTATCTTGGATGAATGTTTCTACGTTTGTTATGATATTCTAGATAGTAACTCTCTCGAGTTAAGAAAAAGGAGAGGAGCTACCAGCATCTGAGTTCCAAAGAAAATGCCAGATAAAAATATTCTACTTCTTCTCAGACGTTTGTCGTAAATGTAACACAAATATTTCGCTCCACAAGAAACCATGAGGAAAATCCTGAAAACTTCGGATTTCCATGACCTTCCACACACAAACACCAATTTTGCTACAAATGTCAAAAAATGACAAGGTTCGCGCATTGATAACAATTTGCGAAGTGACACTTTTTAAGCAGTGCCAGCAGTGTGCGAAGTACATACTTCGCACATTGTATGTAAACTATATGAGATTTTTATATTTAAACTTTATGGTCTTCAATCGAGCAAGCATCCAAGAAATCATTTATTTCTGGACGTTCAACAACAATTAATGCCTTTTAAGCCAGTTAAGCATCACTAACTACTTCAGAACTATGTTTTTTGACGTTTGTGGAAAAAATGTTGTTTGCAACTCATGCGCGAAATATTTCGATCATCACAACTATTTTTTCAACTCGACTGCGCCTCGTTAAAAAAAATCAGTTATCCGATCACCAAAATAACATTTCACTCACTAAATACCAAAATGTCTGTGCATGCATATGATATTTGTCGCATTGAAACTGGGACGTCCTGTATATTGTTATCAATGGAAGAGAGTTTGGTAACCATCTGTGGAACAATTCATCTGCTCTTCATACATAATAAACATTCAATTCGTATTCTCCTTAAGCTTTTAAGCTTCGAAACATGTCTCTTTGAATTCCTTACATTGAAGTATAGTTTCCGTGGAGTAGACTATAAGAATTTCGCCCTGTACTAAAGTTTGGTGAAATATTTGAAAATTCTGCATTTAGGATTTATTCAACGTCTATGAATAATTCTTTATACATAAAAGAGAGTTGAATGGTATTCAATTATTATTAACAATAAAATTGTTCATTGTTGATGCCAGTTGAATTTTCTTGAAGTCATACAAGGTTGACGTCAAAATCACACACTTTTATATCCTCTCCATTCGGGAATAAGTACATCAAGCTATAATCCAGGAGTATAAAGAAAGACCAGATCAGTGAACAGGTAGGGATTCCTCTTATGTAATTTAGAATTAGAGCAGCTTTTTCCATATCCAATCTTTTCCAGAACGGTTTTATTCCAGCTTGACTGGAGCACATTCGAATTCGCTTCACTTTCCGCTTTGAACAGCCAATTACCAACAAACGACATATATTCTGTTTCGAATGCCTTTCAATTAGCCACATTGATAGTAGATACTTCGCAACGATCGCTTAAACATTATAGCGTTATCAGGTGGAAGTGCGATGTATCTTACAGGACGTGCAAAACCGTTGAAACACATATCATTCTGTGCGTTCTGTGCCAAGTTGCATAGGTCCTTCCATCGAAATTATAACCAGAACCACGCACGTTTGGAAATTCGAATGACTATGGTAGACAATGACGTAAGAACCACTTCATCGACAACTATCGAGTTTATCATTCATTGCTTACTAGAATTCAATCGCAATCATTGCTGTTGTGAATACAGAAATAAAGGCATTGAGACACAGTCACAGTTTAAGGAATGAGTATTTCCTTAAACTGTGGTATAGGCACAATTTAAGGAATGGGTATTTCCTTAAACTGTGGTATAGGCATGTATAGGTCGCGTGCACGATGACCGACCCGGGAGGTAAAATATTGGAAGACAACCTCACTCTTCTGTGAATTATTGAAACACAACCTCACTTCATTATTTGGTTACAGAGGAATCAAAGAATTGAAATAGTTTTTCACAATATTTTGGCAAACGAATCGTGTTTTTTGCGCTATTCATTAATTCAAGCATGCCTTCGCATTGTGCTATTGTACAATGCACAAAAAATGCAGCGAGAGACTAAGGAATATGATTTTTCAGGTAAATAGTAATCTCACATAGTTATCAATATGAAATGTTGTCATTCCTCAATAAAATTCCCTCTGCCACTTCTGCAATACAAGCTAATACTGCTATAATAGATTGAAAATGTATACAACACTTGCATGAATCCAATCTTCTTGCATTTTTTTAGAAATTTCACGTGTATTTCTATTTGCTCCTATTGCAGAAGGAATTCCGATGAGAAATCAGAGAAATTACCAAATTTCAAAAATGAAAACTATATGTGAGTGACTATAGTAGGTACTTACTTTTAAATCATAATGTACCAACAGGTTTCCTTCGTCTTCTGCTGCAGTCTTTGTGCATTGTACAACAGCACAATATGATGGCATGAGCGAATTAATGAATAGTCGAAAAATACGATTCGTATGCCAAGATAATTGTGAAAAACTATTTCAATCACTCGTAAACAAATAGGAAAAGTGAGGTTGTGTTTCAATGTTGTTCCTCCAGGGTCGGTCATCTGACAGTTCTTGCACGCAACCCATATCACTCACTGATTATAACCAACAAATATAACTTTCACCGACAACAAGCGAGCAGAAGACACTTGCGCTTGGAGTCTTTTTAGAATACGTACACTCGTCTTCAGTTAACATATCGCGGTTGGACGGTATGAGCGCTCTTATTGCAGCGGTGATTAAGAGAGCTGACACCGTCCATGTGCGACATGATCTATGAAGACGACTGTACGTATGATGTCTATACTCGTAGAGTTTATCAGAGCTCTCTGTAATCTCATTATACATTTTGTCCCGTGACTCGATCCCCATAGCTTTAGGCCATATTCTTTCAACAAATTCAGGTCGAAAGTGCATGATGGGGCGGTTCTAATGCCACTGGTCTGTAGGTAGTCAAGCTTTCCTGAAAAATTTAAGCACAATTCAGCATTTAAGAAAGGAACAGATTTCGGGAGAATGTAATTCAATGTCCTGTGTGGCATAGAGCCAGGAAAATGGTTGTTTTTCTCTCGTTATCTCAGTTATCTGCCGGAACATTTGTGGAAATAACTTTGAGCGTTTCATATTCATTCAACATCCCATTCCTCTTTGAACATTTTGGCTTTTTCATAGTTCAAAATTTGAAGTTCGAGATTTCTTGAAATCGTTCCACATTAAACCTTCTTTATCATAATATTATATGTGAGATGGATGTTAAACTTTGGAGGCTGTGTAAATCATTCCTTATATGAAAGTTTATACCGAAATATTCTGATATACCTCGAGGCTAAGTAGGTTGGTATAAGCAGAAGGTAGATATTCAAACAATCAAGCTTATGTAGAAATATTTCAAACATCGTCCCAATTAACATTAGTGTCATGTTTTTGTTTCGTCTTAGGGATCTAACGATTATTTAGCTTAGCAGGAACAGATGGGAAAAAATCAGTAGCTGTTCTTTGAATTGTGCTCAATTTTGAGTTAGAACTGATTTCGAGCTATCTAAATTCGAGATATAGGGAGTGTTTGATACACTTTCTTTATACAGGATGATTCATTAATAATGGGAAATCTCTGAACTACAGATAGTAAATACTAAAATACTGAGATTTAGCCTAACATACCTGATAATAATGTTGCT